CACACCCATCACTGAAGTAGAATAATCTCAAAAACAATTTAGTTGTGCCAAACAGAAGTTCGAGATAAAGTCTATGATTCTGAAGAGTAAAAATATGGTGGTTGATAAGGAAGGAAAAAAACACACACTCATACCCTAAGTGATGCTATGAAATAAAAAAAGCAATTATCCCATCAGATAGGACACTGCCCAAATCCCAGAGCTTTATAAAGGACAGACAAAACTACTCTTTTCCACCAAAACCAAACTGATATTTTATGAACGAAATTACTGAAAGAAGCAGCAAAATAATAAAGTGTAAACCCTTGTCATGATGCTTCAACTGGACCAATTCATGTAGGTTCAGTTTAAAAATAGACATCAACTCATTCTCACGTATGAATTTTCAGAAAGAATTTTCTTTTAAATACTGATGATACTTGATTTTTTTCCTTTTGAATTTTCATTGTTTTCTCCAGTAAAATTGTAAAGAAACTAAGAAAGTTAAAATGGGAAATTATTTGTAATCAAACAAAAACATTTTACCATGTTTTTGTTTAATTACTATTCACATTTGTCATAAAGCTAAGAAAGAGATCATGAAGAATAGAAATGACCTGCCAAGTCCCTGCATAGATACCTAAATAATTCAGCTTCATCAGCACCCTAGTTTTTCTAGTTCTTCCACATACTCCGTGTGCCTCAGGCAGTCTCCCATTCTGAAGGTCCTGATGTCTCCACCTCTTTTTGATCAGATGGTTTGGAGCAAGAGTCTCAGGTTCCCCCAGTGACTGAAATGAGCTTTTCCCTCTCCACTTCAAATGGCCTAGATAAAAAAAGAAAAAGAAAGACATATAAAAGTCATTACAACTGGGAATGTGATTAGTGTTTGTTGTTGCAAATTTCTACAGCTGTGATCACTTCAACAGTAGATGTGACATGGGCACAGTGCCATCTTTAATACAGGAATGTTGTTCATGGTGGTGGAAAATACATCCTTTAAACAGTGCACCCATTAAGTATCAGTGTTTCATATTTCAAGTTGCATAAAAATTCTTTCAAGCAAGAAAACTTTCAAATCTATTAATAAGCATGTTATTGAAGCAAATAGAGTTTAGAATACATACACTTGGAACATGAATGATAAAAATAAATGAGATTTTTA